TAATCATGCATTGTTATAAATTTGTTCTTGTGTTAAGCTTCTAGAAAGAAAAAAAATGGCAACTTTTAAATTTTGGAACATTTTGGTTTCTCCACATCATAATATTCCAACTTGCACAAGATCGCCTAACAACCACAAGCATTAATTTAGAGACGTACGTTAGAGCTTACTTCAGCCTAATTTTTTTGGCTTTTTTTTCTTTTTTTTTTTGGGTATTTCAACCTCAGTTGAAAGAAAAATACATTTTCGACTCATTCTACTTAGCACATACGGATTAATGTTAATCATAGAGAGAATATATTGACCAAATCCTTTTTTTTATAAAACTTTTTTATGGTAGTTTTTCTTCAAGCTCTAGTTTGTTGAGGTTTGAGATTTATAGCTCATTTATTTTGCAGGTTTCAACCATAATTCAAACCTCCTACCTTTCTCTCGTATAAAATTTAAATTTATATTGAAACTTATAAACCGAGCTGACTATTAGCATATATATTCTTCTAAATATGTTTAGGATTCTTTAATTTTAGAATCATATAGGAATTAATAATCCTGATGAGGTGAGCAATGAGAGCACGGATGACGGTTTTGTTTGGTAATCAAACAGTTTTTGACTTCTTATTCCGTGGCACAATTCAGGACCTCATTATGCCATTTTCCTTAACATATATAGGGCTGAAAATTGAAAAGAAATTTAGGTCAAACTTTTTTTTATTCATAACTAATTAGTTATTTAATTAATTAGTTAGTGTTTTTATTTGATATCCATAGTTCGCAAGTGGTGTTTGTCCTTTATTTGTACCTCATGTCTCGTGTAAAGTTTCTGTACAGATTATGAGGGGAATGTAAGGAATGTATCATCGCTTAGTTATATCCGTCAATCTTATAAATTAAAGTAAACTAAAGATTATTATTACAAGTTGCAAGGGCAAACTAGGGCACAACACGAAAGTAAACCGACAGGGGACAAAAGTACTACCACATAGTACTGGCAATTGATAAGTAAATAAGATAAATGTATATATATATATATATATATATATATATTGAAATAAGAAATATTACCGTTATACATAAAAGTCAATTTAAACATTACCATTTTTTCTCATATTCAGATGCCACTAGATCAGAAACGAGTAATGTTTTGTCACGTAACTGTCCTCGTCGCCATTTAAAACAAGTTTTGTATATATCCTCCATTAATGGAGCTTGCTTGGAACGCACGAATTGCCCTTTTATCTAGGAAATAAATCAGATATTGAAACTCAAAGCCATCTTATAGATGTGAATTCAGAAGCATAATATACTTTGCGTAATGTTACGAACACTATTTTTCATCACTTAAAATATTGCCCTACTTGATATGATTCAATGATCTCATCTATTGCTCCTATCTATGGCTCCTACTTATTACAAATTCTCATTTTATCGTTTAAATTTTGAATTAGTCTCACTTAACTCATTTTAATAAAGTTTCTATTAAAAACGACAAAAAAATAAGACTGCAGATTTGAATTCACTGCATATGAAGTTCCTTTTAACACTAATTAAATTGTAATCTTTGCAGTCACGATTTAAACCGCCTTGTTTTATATGACTAATTATAAAAATTGAAATAGTAATTATATACAAACATATACATATATATGTATATAGTTGGTCATAATAATTTATAATCCTCGCATGTACAAATCCCTGCGGATCCGGACAAGATTGGTCGGTCGGTCCATGGTTGACAAAATAATATTTTCTACTACCATATATAATATGCATTATTTTTTATAATTATTTTCTAAATTTATAATCTACCACTAACATGGGGGATACAAGCACCCAAGTGAGGCTGCGTCAGCCCAAAAAAAGAAAAACCAAAGTCACCTTACAGACTGATTAGCCTTTTAATTATTTGATTAGTAATGCTAATTACAACAAAATTTGTTGTACCCTCTAAGAAATTACAGAAAAAATCTGATACCTCACATTACAATGCATTGCGTGTCACCTCAATGTACTCTTCAAAGGATTATAAGCATCGTAATATACAAATAACATACTTTCTCGAATGTTGACTTTTCTTATTTGGCAAGGCTGATACATAGCCTGATACGCAGCATTAAATATGCGGTTTGTTATTAATGGTGATATATCGTGCGTGCGTTTAGAATCGTTTTTAAAAATAGTTTTTACGTATTTTAAAAAATAAAAAATAAAAAATAAAATAAAATGATATTTGTTTAGTAAATATTTTAAAAATAAAAATAGTGAAAATGATTTTTGTGAAAGAATTAGAAAATAATTAAAAGTTAATTTTATTTTTTTGTTTTCATTTTTTAGTATTTGTCAACAATATTATAATATATTAATTAATGAATACAATTTCACTTTTTTATTATACTTAAAATAATTTCTTAAAAAACCAACTAAACTCAATTTCATAATCGGTCTTAAAATAATTCTTAAAATAATCTCGTTTTTACCTTTTATTGAAAATAAAATCATTTTAAAACTAATTCTAAACGCACCATACTAACTTTGATTTTGCAGTTTTCTTTATAATTGTTCATTTGATGGTTGACTTCAACAGCCAATGATACATTATATGGATTTTCTTTTTCTTGTTTAATGCTAATTTATGACCAAAAAGCTTGTCAAAATCATTTTGTTAAATTCTATTTAGTGTAATATGAGTCTTATTTTTTTCAAAATGTATCATACTTTTTCAGTCTGCTTTTCACTTGTTACTGTTTTCTTTTTTTATATTTTTATATTTTTTTTACGTTGCTCTCCAAATTCCTATGTTGATGTTTGTGTTTGACTCAATATGCCTCATACATATTCTTAAAAACGAAAGCACTAAAACACATTTTAATATCACGGTGTATATATATACGTTTTTTCAGATATTAGATGATGAGTTGTTAAAAGAAGTTCTGAGTTGCTATTAGATAAAGCTGAAAATTTTAAACATAAATAAAGTCATTTCTTAACCTCATTTGATAACTGAGATTTGAAGTGCATATACATTTCAAAGGAATAGAAAATATCATTAAGCTTACTACTCTAGAAAAGTTTTTAAGTTCACTTCGTTCCTATTTTATTATATTCCAATTGAGTTCAACCGTTAGTTAGGCTATATTACTCAGGTGATCAGATGGAGGGAATTATAACAGGAAGACACGTGAATGAGGTTAAACAATTTATTGTCAATTAATTACTTTTTTTTTAATTATTATTTTCAGTCATATTAAAACATGGAAGACAAAAATTTGCAAGAGAGAATAAACTTGGGCAGTGCAAAAAGCTACTAAATGGAATCTTCTCTTCAAACAAATTAGTTAATCTGTCTCTATAACATTATGGTGAACTATCATTTTCATGCAAGCCAAAATTTAGATGTGATAGTGGCTGTACTTTGTTTATACTAAATTGAAGAAATGCAAATGTCATCAAAGTATTGTTTGTATTGCATGTTTGTCTGAGCTTTCTTGTTTTTAGTTTCGATCGGTTCACTAAATATATATTAGCAGCTAATTTAAAAACAGGTTTGATTAGGCATAGTCTTGAAGGATTCTTATCCATAGCATTCATGGTTTGAGCATATTCTTCATGAAATTCATATGATTCCCTATAAGCAAACTGCCGTTTTGATTAGTATAATCCAAACTGACAAACCTACTGAAATTACACAGTAAGCAATATTCGTTTGTTTCGTCATGTGATGTTGAATTAAGTTTGTTCAGTACTGCTCATCCATTCCCCCACAAAAAGAAAAAAAGAAAAAAAAACACGGCCTTTTTTTTTTTCCTTCGATTTAATCTCTATTCTCTAATTTATTGTAATTGAAGATCAAACTTCTGAACAATCTCAAGATTATCATTAGGATGAAGCCTATGCTTGTTGAGGTTAAGTCCAAATCGAGATATTCCTTTTCCTAACAATGGAGAGACGACTGGAAATGAAAGAAATCAATTCGTTGTTAATTCACTATAATAATCTTCCCAAAACCTTTTGCAATATTCGTACCATAAAAATAGAATAAATAAATTAAATAAAAAAGCTTTGATGTCAACGCGTCAGTAGTCCAACGGTTAGGATAATTGCCTTCCGCGTAATAGATCCGTGTTCGACTCCCGGCTCACGCAAAGGCTCTGTTTAACGTACTTTCAAGTCTTGCATTTGTTTTTGACATTAAAAATGGATAATTGGACCTTCAGTGTCTTTTTTAAATTTGTTTTTTTGACGATTAACTAATTCTTCAATGGTTTAAATTAATAACGTTTGACTTTTCCAGTATATATGTTTCGTTGACACGTCCAGGTTACAAGTGCAACGTGATATAAGTTCAAAGAATGTTATATATGTTTGCTATAGGTTTTTTTTTTTTTTTTTTTTTTTTCCAAAATAAAATTTTTTTTTTGGGAATGTGT